AGTGGGGCTTTTTTAGTGGAACTCACCATGGGTCCACGAACCATGCGAGGGGTGTGCCGAAACGGTAAACTGATGCGAAGAGCAGAAGCAAGAATGGGAGGAGGGGGGGGAGGAAGGAAGGAAGGGAGGAAGGAAGGAAGGAGTGACGCGGGGCGCTGTCTTTTCGAAACGAGAACCTAATGTTGTCGGGTCACGTGTTTGGGAGGAGGGCGGGCCAGACTCCTGCCAGACCCTCCCGCCTGGGATCCCGAAACGATTGCTTGTTTGTAGTATCGCAGGTTTTTGATGTGTTATGTTATTGCTTGTTTTTTTTGGTAGCGTCGCAGGCGCAGGTTCCGAGGTCAAACATGAAGGTAACTCGTTTCCTGACATTGCAAAGCCAATCGAAACCAATGGGAGCCAAGAGAGTCACAAGGATTAGTTGTTTCCCGTTGGGTTGGTTCTTCCATGACAGCGAGGGTCTCCGTAATGCTGGACCACGAAACCTGTGACACCACCAAAACGTGTGACATGATCAAGAAATACAAAGTCAAAGGTTTTCTGAGTCACGGCTTGGCGGCCAGGGTGGCCGCCAAGCCGTCCCCTTCGCAGGCGTCCTCAGGGAGAGGGCGTTGTCGCCGTCCGTCCTTGTCCTCGTCGTTATCGTCCTCGTCCTCGTCGTCGTTGTCGCTGTTGTCGTCGTCGCCGCGGTCAGGGGGCGAGCGCCTGTGCAGGTTCGCTTCCTGCCTCCCTTCCTCCTCTCACTTCGACCCTCTTCTGGGAGCGGTGGCCGTGGGGGGTGATACCTGCGAATCCCGCTGCCGAGATCAGCGGCTCCCGCCCTAAAATTGAAAAGTCGGGGTGACCGAGACTCTATCTCTCTCTCTCTCTCTCTCTCTCTTTCTTTCTCTCTCTCTCTCTCTCTCTCTCTCTCTCTCTCTCTCACCAAGGGTAGAGGTTTCGAATCTCAGGCAGGCGATTTGCATTGAGGTGTTTGATTGGAGCTTACGGGGCAAGCTCGGGGTGAATCCTTTTTCTGAGTTATTCATGATTCTGTTGTGCATTGAGACATGTGGGCTCCACGTGGATCGGATCAGCTTTTTTTTCACAGGCCCCCGATGGGAGCTGGGACTTCGGCAGCAGTGAGGGGATCAGGCTTTCATCAAGGTTTTTCAGTCTCTCGATGTGTTTGTAGGTTTCCTCCAGGAGCGTCCGGAAGTTTCCCCGCTCGCCGAGACCAGCTTCGCCGGTCGCTTGGTTACTGTTTTTCTTGCTTGCCTTGTCAAATTTCTTCGCTGGGGGGAATGAGTTTCCCTTGTCGCTTGCCGAAGCTTCTTCGCCTGGCCGCGGAAATGTCTCCCTCTCGCCCGCCTGTCGACCCCTCTGGGCCGGATGGATCACAGCACCATATAAGGTTTGTTCATGACCTCTGTTGGCGGGGTAGGTGCAGTCCTGCGCTCCTTGCAACACCTAGCTTTCTACTGTAGGTGGTTCGCCGACTTGTGGAGCCCCGGGCTGTCATTTTGTCGCGGCCACTGTTCTTTCTGCATTATCTCTCTCCCTCCCCCTCGCTCTCTCACTCTCTCTTTCTCTCTCTCTCTCTCTCTTTCTCTCTGCCTCCCTCGCTGCCACCCTGGGGATGATATGAATATGGGCGTTTTTGTTATCTATCGCTGTGATAACGTCTGTCCGTTGCTGTCTATCGTTCGCGTTTCCTCCCTGCCCCCCCTCCCTCGCCCATCCCGCCTTGATTGTCGCTGTGCGTGCTAAGGTCGGAGGTGAGGGGGTGAGATCGAAGTGGAACGGAGACCCCCCCTACCGGGAAAGCGGTTTCGGTTTCGTGTTCGTGCGTGCCGTGCGTGCAGGCGAGGCGAAGCTGCCTGCGGCTGAGGCGCGGCCGGACCAAAAGTCTCCCTTCTGGCAACCAGTGCCGCGCGGTGTCCCGCCGGTGTCCCGCTGTGGCTGAATGATGATGATGATGTCGATGATGTTGTTGTTTGAAAATGGTGATGTGATGACGATGGTGCCCCGATGATGATGACGATGATGACGATGATGATCTTGACGATGTTGATGATGATGATGGTGATGGTGGTGATGATGATGGTGCCCCGATTATGATGATGGTGTTGATGATGATGATGATGTTGTTGATGATGATGGTGTCCCGATGATGATGATGATGGTGATGAGCATGGCATGATGATGATATGATGATGATGAAGATGATGGTGTCCCGATGATGATGGTGAGGAGGTTGATGATGATGTTGTTGATGATGAGGGTGATGCTGATTATGATGGTGTCCCGATGGTGATGATGTTGATGCTGATGATGATGACGATGATGGTGTCCCGATGATGATGATGACGATGATTTTGATGATGAAGACGATAATGAGGTGATGATGACGATTTTGATGATGGTGGCCCGCTAATGGTGCTGTTGATGGTGGTGATGATGATGGTGTCCCGATGATGATGATGGTGATGCTTATGATGGTTACGATGATGATGGTGTTTCGATGATGATGTTGATCATGATGTTGTTGCTGACGATTATGCTGGTGTCCCGATGATAACGATAATGATGATGATGATGTCGATGATGTTGTTCATGATGAAGATGAAATGATGATGATGATGATGATGATGATGATGGTGGTGTTCCGATGATGGTGATGGTGTCCCGATAATGATGATGTTCATGATGGCTGTGACGATGATGGTGTCCCGATGATGATGTTGATGATAATGGTGGTGATGATGGTGATGAGGTGATGATGATGATGGTGGTGTCTCGAGGATGATGGTGATGTTGATGACGATGGTGTTGGTGATGATGATGACGTTGATTGTGATATCGATTGTGAAATCGATAGTGAGACCGATAGTGAGACCGAATGTGAGATCGATTATGAGATCGATAGTTAGATCGATTGTAGTCAGATCGATTGCGAGATCGATCGAATGAAATAGATCGAGTGAGATCGATCGAGTGAGATCGATCGAGCGAGACCAATAGTGAGATCGATAGTGAGATCGATAGTGCGACCGATCGAGTGAGACGTTGGTTCCTCCCCCCCCAAACCTCGTTATCACCCGAAGGGTGGTCGTATAGGTATAACAGAAATTGCCGTTTGAGCTCCTGGGGGGCCGTCGCACAGCGCCCTTGCCCCTTCGCCTCCTCCTCATCCTCCTCCACTTCCTCCTCCTCCTTTTCTTCCTTTCCTTTCCCTTGTGAATAACTCTTCAGTGTCGTACCCCGAGGCCAGTCGGAAAGGCGGGCAGGGCGTTTCGTTCGAGTTTTCTTTATCATGTGTGCGCATGAAGCTCAAAGATTGGGAACAGCCCCACAGATGGAGGGCGTGCCGCTTCCAAGTGTAGCTCTCGCTTTATCGCCGCTCATACTCGCTTTAAACATTTGCCAGAGCTTCACAGATGAAGGGTGGGTCGTTTCCAAAATGTGGCTCTCGCCTAAGCGCCGCGCACAATCGTCTTCACAGTTTGCAGAAGCTCCACGGATTGAGGGTGGGTGGTTTTCAAAATGCGATTCTCGCTTCAGCGCCGCGCACACTCGTTCTGAATATCTGCAAGAGCTTCACAGATTGAGGGCGGGTCGTTTTCAAAATGTGGCTCTCACCTTAACGCCGCGCGCATTTGGTTTAAAATATTCGCAAGGGTTTCACGGATCGTTCCTTTTCAACATGCGGTTCTCGCCCTAGCGCCGTGCACACTCGTGTTGAATATTTGCTAGATGTTCATTGGTTCTCATGGTTAATGAACCAGCATTGGCGTTTTGGAACGATTCAGGGTTCTCAAGGCGCAGCAGTTGCGTTGATTCGCGGCATTGGAACCCCAGGAATGACGTTCCGGCACGATTCAGGATCGTCAAGACGCAACAATGTTGTTGATAATTGGCGTTGAAGTCTTGGGAATGGTGTTTTGGCACGCTTCAAAATTTCCATACAGCTATCCTTCAACGGGGTATTTACTGCCCTCCGTAGAAATGAACCCCTGTAGGGGCCAATGAAGAGGTAGCTTGGAGGGAGGGTGTATTCCAACATCTTTGATGAGTCTTGGGTTTGCACTGCCCCTCCCCCTCCTCCTCCTCCTCCTCCTCCTCCTCCTCCTCCTCCTTTTTCTTCCTGTCCTTCCCATCCGTGTCCGAATTCAGGGCTCGAGTTCCGGCCACGCTTGCCGGACCGTCGTAGTGCACAGCTGGAGGCTTCACCTTGGTGTCCATTCCGTTCTGGCGAAGGGCCCAGTCATATGCAGTTGTGAGAGCTGCATTTTGGGTACCCGTTTCGGAGGAGCCCCCTATTAGGCCACGAATCGTGTGGCGGGTGCGCCGACAGGGGGCGGGGCTGCCGTACGAACCCTGCCACTGGGGCTTTCGGTGGAGTTCCTTCTGGGGCCACGAAGCGTGTGAGGAGTGTGCCGAAACGGGGCGGTACCGACATGCAAACCCTACCATTGGGGCCTGAGGTGGAGCTTCTTATGGGGCCGCGGAACGTGTGAGGGGTATATGGGAATGGCGAGGGGCCGCCATGCGTACCCTGCCAACGGGGCATGCGATGATCTTCCTATGGGGCCACGAAACGTACGAGGGGTGTGCCGAAATGGGGTGGGGCCGCCATGCGAACCCTGCCACTGGGGCCTTCGGTGGAGCCCCCCTGTGGGGCCACAAAATGCGACAGGGCCGCCATGCGCAAAATGCCACTGGGGCCTTCGGTGGAGCTCCCTGTGCGGTCACAAAGCGTGTGAGGGACATGCCGGAATTCATGCACAGAGAAGGGCAGAGGCAGGGACGAGGAGAAGGGAGGAGGGAGCAGAGAGGGGGGGGAGGAGGAGAAGGGACGAGGGAAAAGAGACGAGGAGAAGGGACGAGGGACGAGGGAGGAGGAGAAGGGACGAGGGAGAAGGGAGGAGGAGAAGGGACGAGGGAAAAGATACGCGGGGCGCTGCTCATTTCAAACGAGGGCCCAACGCCACAGGACTGTTGGGAAAAAGCTCCCGGAGGTCGCGGTGGCTGTGGCCGCGGCTATGCCGGCGTGCCCCGCCGAGCCGGGCCTGGAGCCCGCCTCGTCGCCGTCTTCGCCGTCGCCGCGGCCGCTGGTGTCGTCATTGTCCTCGTTTGTGTTCTCGTCGACGTCGTCACCATCGTCGTCACCCTCGTCATCATCCTCGTCGGCCTCGTCGTCGTCCCTGTACTCGTCAACCCTCCCCTCGTCCTCCACGCTGTCGCCGTCCTCGTCGTTCGTGCTCGGCTGCGGGTTCCGACGGGTCTTGCTCCCCCCGCCACCCGCAGCGTATCTTTCGTTTGCTGCTTACGCGCGCCACCCAAAGCACAATCCTGACCGTTCTCTTCGTCCTGATCCTCCTGCTCCTGTTCCGCCCCCCCATCCTCGCGCCTCGACCTGCTGCACCTTCCGTCTCCTTCTCTTCCTTCACCTCATCTTCCTCTTTCTCCTCCTACTCCGCAGCCATTTTGGCTCAAGGTGTAAAGCTTATGTGGGGACAGAGTGGATACCGCCAGTCCTCAGCCAGACTCCGACGGTTGACACTCTCGCCGGAGACTCGCACTCACGCTGGCACGGGAGGCTCTTCCACCACGACCCACGTGGCGTCGGCCCTGTATGCGGAAATTGGGAGAGTCGACGTCTCATTTCGCATCATGGCAGTCCGAGCGACGCGCGCTGCGAGGGAAGAGGACGAAAAGGCCCACGGGGAGCGCAGTCACAGTCGCAGGTGCCGCCGTGCTGATGTACCTCATCGTCATGTTACTGGGCGCTACCGGCCGCGAGACCCGCCCCCTGCTGCTGCCGAGGCTTCGCGGGCAGAGTGGTGTCCATCAGTTTCCCACGCCCAGAAGCGGGGCGGTGAGGAGTTGGCCCGCCGTGACCCCTCGGGCTGGAGGACAGGAAGCACGGGGGAGAGCATGAGGACTCCAGACACGCCAGGGTCCAGCCACTTTCGGGAGCTGACCGAGGATGGGCTGCTGCTGCTGGCGCAGCGGGTGCTGTGCCCGCCGCGGGGCCTCAGGCTGCCAACTGCCTCCTGATGATACTCAGGAGGGAACAAAGCACACAGACACTATGAATCGTCGATCTCCGAGAAAATATTTGAAAATATGGGAAGGGGGGGGAGACAAAAAAACAGAAAATATAGGAAAGTATGGGGAATCCTGTTATTTGTGTCTATTTATTTGTGTGTCCCAGGGCACCTTCAGATACACTGGAACAGCGTCTCTCCTTCACCATCGGAATGCAGCTCTCCAACATCCAGGGGGAGCTCCAGTCCTTTATTGGTGCGTCGGTCGCTGCTTCCAGGAGCAACACAGTCGAGCCGGACGTCCGCAGGGTTCAGGATCGCGCTGCCGCCCTCGAGGAAGACCAGCAGAACCTTCGGCGCGAGGTTGCGCGCATGCAGCAGACGCTGGCGATGACGGAGTGTGCTCCAGCATCGGAGGGCATCGACGTCGTACGATTGACCCAGTGGGATCGCCCGGCCAGCCCGCGCCTGTTCAGCATCAACACGGAGACGGAGGCCACTAAAAAAGAGCTGTTCGAGGATCTCGCCCCTTGGGTGGACGCTGTTAGGCCAGATCGATATCATTGCGTCAGATGCGCCTGACAAACAATAATATTGGTGAAGGGCCCAACCAAATGCAAATGTTGGTACCTCGTTGTGGGCACCGCTTTCGGCGGAGATCCCTGTAGAGCCACGAAGCGCGTGAGGGGCATGCCGACATGGGGCGGCGGTGCCATGCGAACTTTCCCGCTGGGGCATTCGGTGGAACTCCTTATGGGGCAACGAAGCGTGTGAGGGGTGTGCCAAAATGGGGCGGCGGCGCCATGCGACCTTTCCTAAAGACGCCTTAGGTGGAGCTCTCTATGGGAACACGAAACGCGTGAGGGGTTTGCCGAAATGGGGCGGCGATGCCATGCGAACTTTCCCACGGGGGCCCTCGGTGGAGATCCCAATGGGGCATAATGGGGCCACGAAACGTTTGAGGGCGTGCCGACATGGGGCGGCGTTTCCATGCGAACTTTCCCACGGGGGCTTCAGGTGAAGCTCCCTATGTGGCCACGAAACGCGTGACGTGTGTGCGTGTGTGTGTGTGCTTGCCGAAATGGGGCGGCGGTGCCATGCGACCTTCCCCACCGGGACCTTAGGTGGAGCTCCTTATGGGGCCACGAAACATGCGAGGGGTGTGCCGACATGGGGCGGCGCCTTGCGACTTTCCCCACGCGGGCCTCAGGTGGAGCCCCCTTACGGGACCACGAAACGCGCGAGGGTGGGGCGGGGGTGGGTGGGGGGGTGGGGGGGCGAAATGGGGAGGAGTTGCCATACGAACTGGCGCTTTCGGTGGAGCTCCCTATGGGGCCGCGAAACGTTCGAGGGGCGTGCAGAAGTAGGGCGGCGGCGCCATGCAAACTTTCCCACTGGGGTCTTCGGTGCAGCTCCCTATGGGGCCACGAAGCGTGCGAGGGCGCGCCGAAATGGGGCGGCGGTGCCATGCGAATTTCCCCACTGGGGCCTTCGGTGGAGCCCCCGTGGGGCCACGAAGCGTGCTAGGGGCGCGCCGACATGGGGCGGCGGCGCCACGCGAACTTTCCCACGGGGGCTTCAGGTGAAGCTCCCCATGGGGCCGCGAAACGCGTGAGGGGCATGCCGAAATGGGGCGGCGGTGCCATGCGACCTACCCCACGGGTGCCTCAGGGGGAACCCCCATATGGGGCCGCGAAACGTGCGAGGGGCGTGCAGAAGTAGGGCGGCGGCGCCACGCAAACTTTCCCACTGGGGTCTTCGGTGCAGCTCCCTATGGGGCCACGAAGCGTGCGAGGGCGCGCCGAAATGGGGCGGCGGTGCCATGCGAACTTCCCCACTGGGGCCTTCGGTGGAGCCCCCCGTGGGGCCACGAAGCGTGCTAGGGGCGCGCCGACATGGGGCGGCGGCGCCACGCGAACTTTCCCACGGGGGCTTCAGGTGAAGCTCCCCATGGGGCCGCGAAACGCGTGAGGGGCATGCCGAAATGGGGCGGCGGTGCCATGCGACCTTCCCCACGGGTGCCTTAGGGGGAGGCCCCCATATGGGGCCGCGAAACGTGCGGGGGCGCGCCGAAATGAGGCGGCGGTGCCTTGCGACCTTCCCGACTGGGGCCTTCGGTGGAGCCCACCCCCATAGGACCACGAAACGCGAGGGGCGCGCCAGAGCGAGGGCAGCGACGGGAGGAGGGAGGAGGAGGGGGAGGGGGAACGCGGGGAATGTCTTTTCAAAACGAGGAAGGGGGAGGGAGGAAGGAGGAACGCGGGGATTGTCTTTTCAAAACGAGGACCCAACACCACAGGATGGCCGGGAGAAATGTCATTTGCCCAGGTGTTGCGGTTGGAACCATTCATGCCCAGGCCTTGGTCAGGGCCCAACGTGTTGCTACTGGTAGGTGAAAGAAATTCAGTGCCATTGGTGTTGAATGATACGGGAGTAACGTCGTCATCGGATCCGACGCGAAGTTCAAACAAAGAAGCGACAGCCAGTTCTGCACCGGATGGCGCCCAATCGTGGCTGGTGGTCCAAGAGACAGCAAGACTTGGTCGTCTGCGGCGATCTCCTCACCGTGGAGGCGGTCCCTGGCGCTGCCCCCAACGACCATGCCAAGTTCCACTGGGGCCCCCAGGCCGTCGCACAGTACCGCATTGATGATGACGCGGCCAGTGAGGCGTTGCACCAGCTCTTCGAGAGGTGGATTCGTCATCCTGGTCGTTATCATGACGCGAGATGGTGGCAATGGGACATTGGCCCTGGAGGGCCACAGGTCGAAATTGTTGATGGGAACGCTGCTGCCTTGATTTGCAGAGACAGGCGCCGTCGCCGACTCGAGCTGCAGGTAGGGCAGATGAAGCGCAGGGTCAGCACTTGCTTCAAGGAGGAGCACGGCACGTCCGAGTCGCTCACTAACCTCCTGCGCCTGTGCCCCCACGAGTTCAAAATCAACGCGCCATGGGCGCCCCTGCCGGCGTCGGAGTCGTCGCTATCCTGATCCCATTGCGCTCAGCAGACCAACTCGCCGTTCATGATGCTTACTCACTGCCAGATTTCGAGCGCACAGAGCTTGCGCAGAACGGCCGAGCTCATTCCACGACCATTGAGGACGCCACGCTCGGCCATCAGGATTCTGAACATTTCGCAATCATGAACTTGACGACGATCAGAGAGCTGCGAACGCATCGACACGGCGGCGGAATGCCTTCAGGACCAGAACCGACGAGACCAAGCGCTTGGCCCTTGCGATCGGCGACATCAGCGCGCCAGATAAACCGACGGACTCGCCGCTCTACCCAGGGCCGCGACAGGTCTCTTCAACGGTCAAATGACCGCGATAGTGACAGACCTCCCCGCCCATTTTCCTCGCCCCAACTCCACTCTCCTCGATGGACCGTGCCTTCATCCCCCCATCGCCCCACTGTCTCTGTGGAGCCGAAACGACTCTGGACCTGATCCAGGAGGCCACCGAATTTCCTCAGTAGCGCCCAAGCGATCACGCGATATTGTCTCGCGCTGAAGCCTCGCAGGGGGGCGCTTGTCGGGCGACAAAAGATCCCGCCGTTTATCGAGACCCCCCGATTCTCTGAAATGCCCCGCCGCTGTCTCGACGGCCGCGACCTCGGACCCCCCCGTCGACGCCTGGCCCTCCCTCAAAGAGAACGCGATCGCGGCCGCCACGGCAACTCGCCAAGCACTTCTGAAGTTCCCCAAGGGCTTGGCATCGCTCGGACGCGTGCATTTTTTCGTCGGCGAGGACCATCGAGGAGCATCCTTGATCATTTGGCGAAAAAACCACGCACGAAACCGAAAAAAACACAGTGAATGGACGTCCGAGCGATGGCGAGAGGGGGGCCAGGGGCTCATCGCTCGATCGCCCGCGCCGCCCGGCCACAGGAAGCGCGCGCAGCCTCGAGGACTCAGCGGGGCCCCGAACATGGCCAGAACCACCCGCGAATTGCAGGCGCGCGAGTGGACCCCAAGGAGTCCGACAGCTCTAGGGGGAAGTCATTGCCCTGGACTTTCTGCGCCA